TTCGCATCAGGATTGTGGAACAAGCTGTAATGCGTTCAGTATGTTCATTTTCACACAAAACTGAAGAATTTATTCAGTTACCAGATGTGCGCTACGAAACTCATTTTCTGGGCGTTTTCAAGGCTTCGTCTCACGGCCCATATCCGTGGTAAGGATTTACAAGTGTTTAATAACTTACTTATACATTTTTCAACAACGTCTTAGCATAACTTAACTAACAAGAGAGCTACGCCCAAATATATGGACACGTCTGTTCGCAGTACAGTACGGTTTACCGTACCGTCAGATCACAGTCTACAAATATATTCACACCAAGCGAAGCAGTACAGTAGGACACAAAATGGCGTCCGATGTCCGCAGAACGTTTAATGACATCATAGCAAACAAAAACAAATCTCACAGAGCTAACAGAAATATTTAAAATGAATAAAAGTAATAGCCTTCTGGGGAAATATTTTATCTTCAACCACTGAAATTTTCAAAGCAATTGGTTCAGTATTCGAAGAGAAAAGCGGTTTTTTAATATCTCCACTAGGTGTGTTATTCTGTGTCAAATAACAAGAACAACACAAGAGAGCTATGCTCAAATATATGGACACGTAGAGTCACATAATTTTGATGACGTCATAGCGAAAAAAGAAGTAATAGCCTTCTGGAGAAAATTTTTATCTTTAACCACTAAAAATTTCAAAGCAATTGGTCCAGTATTCGAAGAGAAAAGCGACTTTTTAAAAACGTGTCAAGCGGTACTGAGTTAGCAGTCAGGCAGCATCTTACCTGTACACTGTAGGCCATATACGGTAATTGATCACAGAACAGTTGTTCCCTTGCAAATTTTATGTTGTTTACACTTTAGAACAGATAATTGATCACAGAACATTTCTTCCCTTTCAAATTTTATGTTGTTTCCAGTAGACTCTCATCAAAATAAACAAATATAGTAGGCTACAAGTGCTACAACGCTTGCATTACTGCACTGGTAGGACCGTGAAAGAATAAGTTACGGTAATTTCATTGTGGTAAGACACCGGTACCGGCACCAGTACCAGTATCGTACCTACGTACTGAGCTACCAGTACCGGTTAGCAGTCAGCCAGCATCTTACCTGTACACTGTAGGCCATATACGGTAATTGATCACAGAACAGTTGTTCCCTTGCAAATTTTATGTTGTTTACACTTTAGGACAGATAATTGATCACAGAACAATTCTTCCCTTTCAAATTTTATGTTGTTTCCAGTAGACTCTCATCAAAATAAACAAATATAGTAGGCTACAAGTGCTACAACGCTTGCATTACTGCACTGGTAGGACCGTGAAAGAATAAGTTACGGTAATTTCATTGTGGTAAGACACCGGTACCGGCACCAGTACCAGTATCGTACTTACGTACTGAGCTACCAGTACCGGTACCGAACCTGTAGGTCTGATATTCCGTTCCGCATACGATAGGCTATAAAACTTGCATTGCAGCATTAGTAATACCCGGTACCGCGGAAGGAATAAGTCAATTTCACTGCGTTACGGCACCGGTATGGCAACTTACCAGTACCGACCTACAGTAGCTGTAGTACTGAGCAAGACAATCGATCGCGAAACCGCTTGAAATAAGTGTAAAACAGTGTTCCCATGAGTAAAAATAAATACCGCGAAATTTTGTATGAAATATCATATCTCATAGGATTCATATAAAATTTAAGAATAAACAAAAGTAATAGCCTTCTAGCGAAAAAATTAATCTTCAACCACTGAAAATTTCAAAGCAATTAGTCCAGTATTCGAAGAGAAAAGCGACTTTTAAAAACGTGTCAAAGAACAAGAACAAGAACAAGAACAACAAGAACAACAACAACATAATATTGAAACGATCGTTATGTCCACTACGTGTCCAATAATATTGAAACGATCGTTATGTCCACTACGTGTCCAATAATAACTAAACAGGGCTATGGAAAGGCTGCCCAACTCAACGCAAGGTCGAGCAGTAATAACTAATATTCCTTCGCTCGCTAACAGCTGATTCGATTCAATTGTTACGTCATGCAGAAGTCATTGTTCATTGCCGAAAATGTAGAGAATATAGGACAGATCGTAGCACATATTTCTTGTAGTAAAAGCGTCTTTTCCGTAAAACGTGCAACTTTTGGAAGTGGGAACAAGGCAATATTTGTTACTAAATTTTTAATGAACATTTTAAAATCATTTCAGGTAGTTACCTGATGTGCGCTACGAAACTCACTTTCTAGGCGTTTTCAGGGCCTCGCCTCGCGGCCTAAATCTTCGTTAACATCCCATAGTGCTCGCAAACCGACGAGGCCGAGTTTCCTCTCCGTAGACGTACGTTGCTTTGTTGCATGTGGATCAGGCATGTGAAATGGAATAGAATAGACGATGTTGGAAAGCTCCCGAAATGAGAATATTTGATTCGATTGGTTATTTTGACCTATATATAATATATTATGCTGGCTTACTATATCTTTATCTGGAGCAAAAAACTGGGACAGTGTTGATCGGACAAACATTAGGTCGGACCTGAAACTTCTATCTTATCTTTGCGAGTAGATATAGCGCATCAAATTAGCTATGATTTAATTCATACGCGGAGTCGCCAATTTTTTTTATAAGAGCAGTTAATTATTCGAACATTTCAATAATCGACATAAGAGAGACACCTGCGGTTGCCATACTCCAATAGTTTTACTCATAATGACAAAATCGCAGAATGATACCTGCTCTGTTACTTGAACAGTAAAATTTGAAAAGTTTATATATACATTTTGACAACAAGACTTTCTACGCAAACGGACAAAGTATCCACGGAATTAACTTCAGTTAAAAAGTTAATGAGCCGCACAGTTTTTTTTTTAGTTTGAAGAAAACAATATTGATCTCGTTATTCTACGCCTCCCTCTGGCATTTTGATAATTTATTGGCAGGGCAGTTAACGTTGGGTGTCAAATTATCGCAATAAACATCTCTCATGCTGTGTCATTACTTATGACACAACAAAACAGCAGTTCTCTCTCCCTCTGTTAACTAGTTAATCATAGATAAATTGGATGCTTCCATTAAAAAAAAAACTTATATAAAAAAAATTGTTCCCTACCGCATAACTGGGACACCGGACGGGACGCCGGGACAGCTTGTCAAATCCGGGACTGTCAGCCTACATATATGGTAAACATATTCAGTAGAATGAGTAGATCAACTGCAAAACAACTTCTGTCATTGATATGTTTCAATACACCAGAAACAATCGCTAGTATGGAAAGTCAAGCGCTGTTGATAACAACCACTGCCAAGGATACAAATCAAAGGCGATCTAGATGTGAGATTTATTGTGAATAGGGATTTGTTCAAAAAGAATTGTTTTTAAAACAATTGTTTTAAATCGAGTTTTTTTTGCCTGTTTTGTTCAAAATGGCTGTACTATTTGATTTTTTTGTATTAAATAGGTTGGAGAAAAATGGATGTAAAAACTTGCCAAGCGCTTCTTATTTCCAATATATCCCACAAATATCGATGGAGGCTCATGCACACCTTCTCAAGCTATAGTTCAGTGGTTTGCGCAGTAATACGCAACCGATAAGCCATTACGTGAACGACCCTGCTGCGATGAAACCATCTTGTGAAAATTGAAATGCCATCGAGTAAATGAGTTTGTATGACCTTGCAAAACTCACTTCAATCGTAAAAAACAAAGTATGCTAAGCATATATTAACCGAACAGTATTAACCGTAACAATGACTTCATTTTATGAGAGAAATGTCAAGACATGACCTCGATATTCATATTATGGCTTCATAACAGATTAGTTGTGGCGTCTTTGCATCAGAGGACTCTTACAATTAACATAGGTTAAGTTAGGGTGTCTTATTGTTCATATCAGTAGATTACCGCTGATATAAGCATATTCTTCATTATCGCAACCCACTCGTTTTGCGAAAGGGCTGCACTTGATCGAATTGCTTTTGTAGTAGGCTCGTGAGCTAATTTTCATGATTTTTCTTACTCAAAACGTCTCTCTGATATCTCGGCTAAACATTCCGGGTAAATCTTGTGACTTTGGTGGAGATATAAAGTGGCGATAAATGTACGCAATAGTGGTAAAAGTCAAAATAAAAAAAATTACTGACATTTTTGAAATTATAATTCCGGCTTCGTGTGCAGCTGCCAGAATGCAACGTTTTGGCGTAGTATCGCGGCGATGCAAGTGGTATTTCAATAAAAAATACAGAAAAAATTTGATTTAAAACAAGCCTTTGTTTTAAAACACGATGTTTTTTTTAGAATTGATAAAAAACAAAACCCTAATTGTGAAGACTGTAGATAAAGCTATAACTTGGGATTTGGACCAGTATTATCCTATATTATAGGTCATGCCTACGTTTTGGGCCCAAATCTGCCTGCCAGAATCAAAATTGACAAGTCACGGAACACCAAATTTCGACTATGGAGATTGAGTCCAAAACAAAAAATCGAAGCGGGCCTGACACCCACCGCACTAGGTAATGGAGGTCCGTTTTTTTCTATATATTTGGACACATGGTTTCAAACTTCACTTTTCGCATTTTTGAATGTTCGGACGTCTAGCATCATGTTTAGAACGTAACCTCTGTTTGTTTGGACGCTCAGCTTCGACGCCACGATTTCGATTAGAGTTGAGATTTTAAGATTGAATTTACAATTACAAATCATGCGATTATTTTGCAAATGTGCACAAATTGTTTAAAACCTAAAATGAATGTTTATAAAGCAGATGAACAATTACACGAGGGTTTCTCGAGTATCTGGAATGTTACATCGGGGTCCCGCTCCACCAAAAAGGTTGAAAAGCACTGGTCTGAAGAATCTATACAATGCAACTGACCAATAATTATATCGCACCTAATAAATTCTTCCCATCATATAAACCTTCAATTAAAATTAACATCCATTTGTTCTCACTCAGTCGATAAGTATTAAAAATATAAGAGCACGAGTATCTCAAATCCAACTTCAAGTGATACACCCCAAGTATCATATGGACCATATAATTCTCTGGGTGCATTGTAAAGAAACTAGAGCATAAACGTTTTCTTCGTTACATGTATATTTTAAAACTTTATTCGGCATTCATGGATAATTAGTGTGGAGTAGTTTGTCACCCGTAAAAAGCTTCATTAGACATCAAGTCGGTCTATAAATTGTTTTGTCAAATTGTAATTGTCAGAAAAAATCGTTTTTGTCCGCAACTAATGAACCAATCGATTTCAACTTCACTAGTTTAGAGATGCCAGAAGATACTAGAAGTCCTGTTGGACCCAGTATTCCACCAAAAACTTTTTCGTTATATCTTAACCGAAAGGGAATAGTTTTTATTCCATACTGCTCGGCCGCCATTGAACCAAAGATATTTTTAGCAACTCTATGACCTGGGCGTTACCGTAGCGATATCCATAGCGAAATTTATGCAATTTAAGGATATCAGGCCTATCGCGTTTTTCTCATCAAAGCTTGTCAAAGGAGAAAGCAGAGACTTGGGCATGCCCTACAATATTTAGAAATTATCTTCTTAAAACACAGCTGGTATATAACTGGCAGCCCCAAGAGTAGTTGCAAATGAATACACAAACAATTGTTCTTATCTTCCAATTATGAAATTACAATAAGTTTAGTACATTGATGTAAAATGTTACAGAAACAATATAATATGTGTAAATGAAATTGAGGTGAGATGGGTGATTTGTTGTAATATAAAAATCAATTCAATTACGCTGGTTACGCTATCGCATCCAATTATCTGCAACTTTCTTTCTAATTTATACCCAACCCGATAACACTGTTGTACCCAATTGAAGCAACTTTCTTGCTGGCGACTTCACATGCAAACAGTACAGTGCTGTTGAGATCCAATCCGTTTAATCTAGCATGTACCAGAGAAGCTTGGAACGTATCTCCAGCCCCGAGAGTATCAAGAACTCTTTCTGGTTTCACAGCTTGTACAAGTTGCTCAATGTTATCTGGAACATTTCTTGCGTGAGCTGCACCGAGATGCCCCCACGAGCAGACAATGTCTCCACTGCAACAAAACAAAAATCAAATTGAAAACTTATCGTTGAATGATTTCTTGATAATATTCCTGACAAACATGTTACTCTATGCCAGTTGTTCGGGCGATCCGAACTTGCCCACTAGCAAGCGGTGGGTCATTCGCCCTGAGGCGTTTGCCAGTGGGGAACAAACGTACTTGTAAATGACACGCAGTGAACACAATCAATGGATATTATTACACAATGAAAACCATGATATGTGACACTGAGAGAAGAAATATGTCCATGTCGCCATGGGCGAAGCGTGCTATATTTTTAACATATAATTTTGAAGAGAGATTTTGTGGCATTTCGTAGTGAGACACAAACTAGTACTATTTTTCAACACTGATTTACCAAATTTATAATTTGCCCAGAATACACCAGCTCACAAGCTGAATACTCAGTTCACAAGCATCATCATGAACACAAGCTCCAACGTCCGAATTATAAATTCGTTACCTCTGTGTCATGACTTAGGCGTATTTGGTCGGATTCGTCGGATTAACACATTGACGCTTCAATTCTTTTTTTACGATGTTCCACACACCAACACGAGCTCATACTCCCAAATTAGAAGTGAAATTCCGGGCATTTTTATTATCATAATAATAATAGATAATGTTAACGTCACAGACGGAAACTCTTTTAATATTGTGAGTTTGTATCCAGGCATTATTTATGGGGCATCAAACAATCAAGTTCGTTTCCATCAAAACACATGCCACTATACGTTGATCATTACATATCCAATAATATAAAGAACTAAACTCTGAGATGAAGTAGCAACTCAAGATTGCGTATATGACGTGGTTTTTTTTAAAGGCCTTACCCTTTTTTCAATTGATGACGCAATTTTGCAACGCATTCTATGGCAGATTGAAATCCCAAATGACGAGCAAAATATCTGCTGATGATGATCTGTCAGAAGGAAATTTTTTTTTACTCTTCCACATATGAATATTAAATGAGCCTCAACGATTCGATCTTTGGCTTCTTCAATAATTGTTATTTAAACACCGCACACGAACTACACAAATACAATAAATGAACGGGTAATTTATCATACTTGTAGTTCGACGTAGAACGGTTGCGATGAAAACACAATACGTTACGACGAGCAGTTGATAATCAATGCTGTATTAAAGCGATATTCCAAATAATAAAAAACTTTTTTTCGACCAATTAAGATGCCCTGAAATTTAACCTGAAAATCAACCAATACTTCTGTAAGTTGAATTTGTAAAATAGTGATTTGTTTATTCAAATAGATTGTTGTTTTTTCTACAATATTTTGATGTTTGATTTTTTCCGTAGACATCGCTCAAAAGCACGAAATGCCCATTCTTAGGTTTTTAAACGGACAAATTGTATGTGCCAAAATTAACAGTTCCCGACTTTAGAAAAGGGCGGCACGCATGTCGTGGCATTTTGTCCTGATTCAATGAAATTCAATGTTTGTTTGTTGAATATAGTTTTGAACAAAATATTCTTTTGATTTTAATTGGGTATAAAACCCGAAGACACGTCTTTTGAATCGTGAAGTGCGACTCGAATTATTGCGAATTCATCCGAATCGCGGAAGTTTACAATTATATTGTAATGTCTGTTTAATCTAATATTAGCGTGGCATTGCCACTAAAAAGAGTATTCCTAATTATTTTGTTTTCACGCCCCCTTTAAAGTGTTCAAAGTTTACAGTAAAACGTTTGCGGCATTCAAACGCTTGAAATAAATAAATAAGCTACATTATCAAAGGATGATAAAATTTCACATTTGTGAAAGGAGAAATAACCCAACAAATATGAGTTTCACGCAATCAAACAGTTATGTGGCCCTTGATATTCAAGGATAGTCAGTCGTATACGTGTAGCAAGTACACTGAGCATTGTTGAAGCAAGTGTTTAAATGCAACGAAAAAGGTTGTTGTCCGATTCATTTCCGCATATAATAATAGCATAAACAATAACAAATTTTCCATGCAAACGTTTTATGCCATGCGCCGTGAAATATGATGACGTGATCCCGGCCGCGTTCAAGAAATGTCTTCGTTAACTTACTTTTGATGTAGTTATAATTTGGAATTCAACTCGTGTACCTTGCAAGGTGATACGGCTTTTTATTTATATGTTACCAATATATGGACATTTGGCAACACAACTACTATATCTTATATCATCCGCAGTCCTATCTACAAAGTACAGACCTATCTAATATTTGTAATGCTGTCTTGATTAATATGCCTATTAAACGATCGATGTTTGCCTTTTCTGCAAAAACATTTAAAAAAATATATAATACACAAAAATTTTGGTATTTACCATATCCGCTAAGGGAATTAATTTAGCGAGTGATGCGTGTTCTGGCAATTCGAGTTCCACGGACACCGATACTCGATCCTCCAACTTTTTAGTTGAATTATGTTGTTGAATTATTTCGATTTCTTTCTCCATGACATCGCCATTTTTTCTTCCCTAGAAACAATAGTGCAAGTGGATACATATATGAATATGAGAGCTATAATTGGAAAAAAATTATCGGCCAAATCTTATATATATATATAGTTATTCGACGCAGGTCAAGCCCCACACAAAGAAGATTTCCAAGAAAACCTCCAAACTTGGGATTATTCTTAATATAACACTATTACTAACACTATTATATTTTAGTGTGACATTATATATAATATTTTTCATCGTTTTTACAACTTTGTTCAATGCATATATTTACCCTCAGTGAGTTGTAGTTAAATAATAACAATTCAAAAACAATAAAAGTGTATTACCAAGGTAAATTATGTAAACACAGTTTACAGTAAAGTATGAAATCTAAAATCTCATACTGTATATATATTTACCTCAAAATGTATCCAACAATATTTGTTTAAATCAAGAACAGCAAAATCTTCTATGGTTAATTCATCCAGCGGTCTGGTAATAAAAGCAAGTAATAATTGGACTACTTCTACTATTGCAATTATCAATATTTTTTTTTTTATAAAATAACGAACTGGAAAGATTTATTCAATATGACAACATTCGGCAATATTGGAGCTTCAACATAATGGTGCAAAACTTTATACAGACCCTGAAGTATCTCTTACCCCCTGTAATGGGCAATAGTACGAGTTCCGGTTGTTTTACTCAATACACTTGATGTTGAAGGGAAGCTTTGACAATCCCGGAAAGCAAGATGTTCGTAACTAACACGGGCTCGATCGAGTTCTGCCAAGCAGTATCTGAATATTTTTATAATGTTATTCGTTTTAATGATTCCAGCAATGAGAAAAATGGTAATAACGTGATTTTCCTGAATCGAAGAATTCTTGGTATCAATTACATCAATTTTTTGACGTCTCGAAAATTCTTGATCAGGTCAAATTGATCTAAAACCGTTTAATTACAAAATAAATGCAATTAGTTGTAATGGTGCGTACCTGGCTTCCGCAATACCTCCCATAATAGATTGTTTCATCTTACTCATGTCAGGAAAAGTTCCCATGAATTCAACTTTATTACCAAGATGAGAAATAACTTCAGCAAAGTTTCCGGCATTTCCACCTCTCTGCCAATATTGGGCTTGAGCACTAATTATTGATAACAATAGTAAATGTGTCTATAGAGGGAATTTTGTAATGTTCGTTCAATAATCATAACGGCGACAAACTACGACCAATCAACAGCATTATGTGACCACTTCCAGTCGCATTATGCATGCAACGTTCTTGTTATTATTATTATGACGACGCTAAAAACTCGACATATTTACGGTGAAATTAGATCGCGGCAAGATGATTAGTACTCAATGCGTATTCCGCAGCGACACTCGGTAAACAACTCAAATATGGGCTTTGGGTAAATATTTATTTCAACGTCGTGAACATGTAAATGGAGTGTATGGACTTTTGGTTGATAAAAGTAACCATTGGTTTGAAAATTAATATGTTCAATTATGTTTAACAATGTTCGCAGAAGACTATGCAATCAGGTTCGGGAGTTTTCTGTTTCAAAATTCATTCATCTACATTAAACGTTATTAGAAACAAGGGCTGCGATCTTTCAAGGCTCAAATTTGCTGAACAGTGGAATCGCCAGAAAAATAGATAATATAGTATAATATACAGAATACAGACATATAGATTTTATGGTGACCGTACATTTGAACCCACGTACATTTGAACCCATGTGTATATCCACGGGTTAAATCTACTTGCGGGTGCTTAAACCCATGGGTTAGGGTTAGTATGGGTTCAACTATCCGAAAAACAAAAAAAATTCCATAGGTGCAATAGCATACAGGTGCAATTGTCATGGGTTCAAATGTACGTGGGTTCAAATGTAATGGAACCAGATTTTATATACCACACAATATTCAGGGTTCAGGCTAGCTCAAAGCCTGACGCGGAAGTTAGTACAATAATGTAAAGTCTTACCAAACTTGAAGATCTTCTTCGGGGTATGACTCGCATATTGTTATCAAGTCGGCACATATTTGCCCAACACTAAGAATATACTTTGAAGATTTCACGAAAGACATTCTTGAGATTTAGTCCGAAAAAGTGGAATGAAGTTTTCAGTGCGAACTCGTGTTGCTCTGTACTGCACCAATACCACGCTTCATTTGCTTTGACAAGCAAATTGCGAGATATGTCGTCACCATTTTGCGGACAGAGATGAACCCTCTCAAGCTTACTTCCGGCGTATTTCGTACGTGTAGTCTCAAATAATAATTATGTTCCATTTAAGAACGCTTTACTCGTATTAGCAAAGTTTCCCCGCAATACCTAATTTTAACATTTTTAATGAAATAATATTTCTCACAGGTACAGTGTTCAAGTTATTTGAGAGCTTGATTATTACATTGCATTTCAGGGATATGCCAGTTGTCTGGTGATTGTAGGCAATTGGATTACAAGTTAATATTATTTTGCTATTTATTCTCTTATAATTGGTTGGTTGTGAGATTGTCACGTACAATACATCTCATTTACACAAGACTACGCGATAATTGCATGAACTATCGTCAATTTTGGCAACTACAAGCCTGCAACGACTGGCGCAACTGAAGATATTTCTTTTTTTATTCAAACAGCGGGAGAAAATAATGAAAGTAAACGATTTGTTTGCTAAAGTATGTGTTGTAAACGCAAACTCTCTTCATTTAAAAATAACATGATCTCTTTCAACGAAATGGTAAGTATATACTATATATATAAGTATATAAAATATTTACCATTTCATTGAAAGAGATCATGTTATTTTTACTTATCACTTTAATACTATCTCGTATCTTTGTGGCAATTACCACATACGGATCCCAAGTATAAAGTAAACAAGAAGAAAGGACCTGCAGTTCAATACAAAATATCCAAGTTCTCTTCATTTACACATCATTTAAAACAAAACGCATTTGATTCGACCTTCTGTGTTCGAGGATGAGTAATTTGCAGACCCGGTAAAATTAACCAGGCATTTAGTCACGATATAATTAAAGTGCATACTAGGCCATTGCATATAATAATGCAATCGAGCTTTTCTACAATTGAACGCGTGGTGTTTTATTCAAATTCTTCTCTAATTCAAATTCTTTTTTATTCTTCCCTACGTGTCTTCACTATGAGATTTTTGAAACGCCATTTAATTAAATTTACAATCTTAATATATCATGCATTGCGGTCATTCGAGACATCGATCATTTTAAAACTAAAGTGAAATGTCGTGGGACCCGCAGATCGATTCTGGGTACTAACATTTGATGAATTTTTGTCTCCATAGTTGGAGGCTAATTACAACGATTGAATCCGCATAGATGTCCATTTCCTATGTAGATACGACACTGTACAAATGTACGAATGACAAAAGGAAGAGAAGTCGATTGATCATCGTTTACTCCATGATATAGAAATTGATAGCAACAGAAATATGTAGAAAGAAATGCAAAAGACACTGACCACAAAGTTATTGGAAATATTATAATTTTTGACTTCAGTGAATTTTGTTAGAGCAATAGTTTCAATAATCTTAATTTAAGTATTATATATCAAAATTCGCATTTTTATTTTGGTAAAATTTGATTGGTATTAAATATACATTTATTATACTGTACGTCCTTTTGATTTTAGTATGTATCGCCGAAGTATCGATCGCTTTTTTGGCTGAACATTGATACGCCATAATTTCAAGCATCAAATTTGAAGATCGTATTCTTGGAATGTGTTCATCGAAGATATTGGAACAAAAAATGAAGACGTTGCCAAAGCGGTTATTTCCAAATTTCATTGTTTTTCGAAGTTACGTCTGGATTACACAGATATTTAAATCATTTTGTTGGCACATAATCAGGTATCGGTTAAATCAAACGTTCTCATTCAAACAAACGATAGTTAAAAATATTGGTAGAATAGTTGAATTGCTCAGCCCTATTAAATTTTCTACTCTCTTTTAAAAATTTCATAATCTATCACATATTTTCATGTTGATCAATGTGGAGTACGTATTCAAAAAATACATACATTGTGTCCCGTGTATTCAACAAAGCGGAAAACGCCATTACCTCACGTACGGTTCCCCACCTTTGAATGGTTTTCGATTTATGAATTCTTGCTCTCGCTTGAAACAGAAGCTTCTGCTTCGTTGTTCAGCAACTTTGTGTCGTTCATACGACGTCAAAACTCACAAAGCGTGTCCAATCTGTGCGCTGTCAATCGAATTGCAACATAATAGATAGCTCCTTATTTGTTAGAGCATAGCCGGAATCGTAGCAAAATACTTGGGGTTATGAATGGCTGCAGAGAGCTTCTTGAATCACATTTACTTGGCCAAGTTAACTTAGACAGTAATATTGAATCTACGAGGTGTGAAAGATTATAAACGTACGCACGAAAGTAAGTGGCAGTCCTTAGATATCTAGCGTTGTCATATTTGACTTGCATTAGTCTTGCGCATAATGTCTTGATTGACACCGCGGAAATTTTAGTTTTTTAGGCGATAGAAAGGCTTTGGCATGACTTGAATGATCATTTAAATGAGATTTTTGTGACCCATTGACCCTTTTTTGTGCTAGATGCAATTTTTAAATTTGTAGATATACCTCGACACGTAATAAAAATATTTTGACTCGGTTTGGGAATATTACGAATTGAACCCTCAACTAACTTTCGGGTATTAAGATCAGCTTGAAAAAGTTCTATCGTTCTCATGCAGTTAAGGATTTTTTTATCGAAACAACTATTTGTGTCTTGCATAGCCATGGCTTGTGTCGTTAATTAAACGCGTGCATGTACCAATAAATAATAAAAAAAATTAGCTAATGCAACGTCACAGTGCGCTTCCTCATGTTACATCACGGATTGCAATCACGTTAGTGGTTCAAAACTTCAAAGAGAAGAACACAATATATTAGAATGTCGTTAGATGTACTTGATGTCACAAAACAGTTCACGACTTATAGCGCTACCCTAAAATTGAAATTCATGTACGTGGTGTCCCAATAGGAATCTACGATTTAGGCCATTCAAATGGCGCTTGGGTTTATACCTGACCTGGGCAAAGTATGGCCTTCAGGCCAAATCTGACCCGCTGGGTAATTCAATCTGGCCCGTATGATGCTGCCACAACCAAACTGACAACCAAATTTAGATTTTTTAGCTAATAAATTTGTTGAGATTGTGGTTAAATTTAGTTTTCTCAGGACGCTTGTTTTCCACCTTTGCTTTGTAACACTGTAAATATTGTTCATAAAATGTAACTTTTTACGTCACACTCACATGGCCCGCCAGACTAGATGGGTAACATTTTTGACCCCTGGTTCGAAAACCTTGCCCACCCCTGGTCTATACCCAATCCTATTCGTAACTTCATTGAAAATACATTTCTTATTGCGAAGCAAACAAAGTCACATATAGCTATATATGGGATTTACTCTGGGGATCTACGGGAATATTTATATATGCTAAAGCATTTGCTCCCTGTTGCACACGACAAATCAAAATAAGAAAGTTTTCTTGCTTGTTTAATTTATTGCACGAAGTGTGTAAGCTTTGGTCCGTGAGGACCAAATGTTATCCGTCGCCTGTCCAGGTTGATTTGAAAATGAGTAGCCAATAGTAAGAATATCTGGTCAATATTAAAAATATCTACCTTCAACGATATATAACTTCGACAATTATTATACATAAATATAAACATTCGTCATCACTTACCTTTCGATAATTTTTAGTTCGGCTCGATTCGATTCAGCACGATAAATGCGATTAGTGTAAATAAATCTCTCCATCTCATTCTTATATTTCAGTAATGACATAGCGATTTTTTAGCTATTTAAGTCAATTGGAGCGTAGTGCAAAGATTCTTTCTTACTTCAGCTAACAACAACAAATTCGCCGAGCTATTTAGAATTTCACACGATGAGCGGTTAACCAAGATCAAGGTTCCCATTTGGGGGGTTCACATCAGATGTCTCTAAATCTGTAAAATTTGATCAAAATGATAACTTTTTTCAATTATAAAGATAATTTATGGACATTTTATTTATTTTCCATAGTCGAATTCAAGTTTCCCATAAGGTTGTCTGTTTAAGGTACAATTTGTAGCGAGGCGTTAGGTTGTGGGGAGTTTAAAAGAGAAATGGGAATGGGCCATATCGGCGTCGATCTTGAGCTTGAAGTTTTTTAAATGATGTAAACGAGTTCATTAAGTGTTTAATTGGCTTTAATTGGTTATTACATTGTTAAGACGCATTCAAAGATTAAAGTATAGATTTAGTCATGATGTATGAAGTTCAGCATGATTTGAGCACAATAAATGAACAGTCTTCAAACACTTTTTCGCGTGTTAGGATCATTACAGCAAATAGTTTGAGAAAATCACATTTGTCAAACAAATCACTGATAAACGTAACTCAAACATTGCAATAACAAGGTATCGATTTTCGAAGAAATTAAAAAGTACCTAATCTAATTGGTCCTTCTTCTCGCTTGTCTATATTTATCTCAGAAATGAAACTGTATTTCAATTTGCTGAAGTCCGAACTGTTGTTGACTTGAATTTCGTTTACACGGTGAAAATTGTTTGGTAATTTATGTTGGAAGATTGATTTCATGATAAGGTGTTTAACATGTTGCATTCAACTTCATCCAATGATGGATAAATATTCGTAGCACACCTTGTCCATTCATCCCATTCCTTATTCATGATTAAATTAGTAGAGTTTATTATTAGTATTTTCGGAATCTTCAAGTAGACGCCAATTCGTATTTGTAAAGACATACTGTTTGTGCGTAAAGTTCCTTGTAAATCAATCCCCGAAGGACAAAATTATATGTCGACGTAAATGGTGGTGTAGAATACCAGTGCAAAGAATTTTAAACAGTTACCAGTGGATAGATGAGCCATTCGATTAACATAGAAAAGTCTGCGAGTTGAAATTACTAGGTTGAAAGTAGTGAATCAAGAAATTTTAAAACAGTAAATTTGTGTATGGAAAAATACTTTGAAATTTATGCATGTCAAATTATCAAAATCGCATTCTCCTTTATAAAATATTGTGTTCCTTAAAAAAGAGTAAGACGAATTTTTTTTGAAATATTGAAGTATGGTATGCGACAAAGTGTAATTGAAAATAAAC